TTTGATGGTGGGGGAAGCCTGGACCCAGGTGATCGGCCGAGGTGGCGAAACCATCCAGCGGCTCCAGCGCCTTTTGGTCTGACATGCTTTCTGGGTAGTAGTAATCCTTCGGGTTCATTACACGGTCACGCATCAGCCCGATGCCTGGAAGGGACTCTCAACCCTGTACCTACTGGAGTGGAAGCCGTCGACCGCAAAATGTTTTGTGCTGAGGCGACAGCGGCGCGAAGATTGACGTCAACAGCCAGCAGGACCCATGTCCCATTCGTGGGGACCTGAATCGGGGTCCCAGGATTTCACCTTTCGGGGTTTGGCCTTTGCAGTGCAGGATGCTCACTTAACCCTTGAAGCACCTTCCGCTGTTTGTCAGTAGGAAGCTGCCTGTTTTGCATTTGCAAGCCTTGACAGCCCAGGCCTCAGCGGCACTCGCGACGCCGTGTACCGCGCGCAGTACATGATCCGCGAGGCTTGGGCCTACGGCAGCCATCGACTTTCAGTTTGTTTTCGGCCTCGGAGCGCCGTTGACACGAGCCGTTGGCAGGAGCACTGCCATTAGTGTGGATGTTGCAGGAGTAGTAGCAGGAGGAGGAGCAAGAGGAGCAGGATCAGAAGAACGAGTTGGAAGAGCAGGGCTTTGCTGAGATGGGAATAGGGATTTCAGTTTTGAAAGAGTCTTGCCGGCTGATCATGACGAGTGTTTTGAGGTTGTGGTTGATCCGATCGTTGTAAGTGGCCTTGCTGCATCAGTGCTGCACAGGTCATTGATGGCAAGTCGGCTGCTCAGAATGGTGTGTGAAGGGTTGGTTCTCTACAAACACCAGGAGGCCTCTTTGTTGGCTGATGCTGCAACCCGGGGATCGTTGAAAACCTCAAAAGTATGTGGGTGGAAGTTGCAGGAAGATGTCGGTTCTTTGGAATCCAGATGGCGTGTGCAGCAGCCAGTTCTAGCCAGCACAACTTGCCTTCCTGTTGTTAGAGGTGCTGCCTAGCGGCTTGGCGCTTGAAAGTTTCGTTTTGCAGAATTTGCCGCAAGGCAGCTGGACTGATTAAGGAGGTCAGCAGCAAACCGCTTTGGGTGCATTGGGATATGATTAGCAGTAGCACGGTGCAGGCTGCTTGTTGTCGCGTTCGTCCACGTGGCATCCAGTGCCAGGCAGCAAATGGCGCCTGCTTGGGGTGTCGCACTCTCAGGTCTGTTAAGGTTTGGCTTGGCTGATGTGGTTTTGGGCTTGACTTTGGAATGGAGGGCAGCTGGAAACCCCCCGATTTTCCAGAGGCAATTTCAGGTTCGACTCTCTGATGAGACCCTCTCCCTGGAATTCAGCATCGCAAGCCTCTTGGCCGTATCCACACCTACCAAGGTTCCCGGCTATCCCGGCTACGCAGATGCGTGGAGTTGGCCGGGTCCTTAGCCTTGACCCCGACCCGGCAAGAAATCACGCGACATATCTGAGCCGGCCGACACCAAAGCACATTCAAGCCCTTGATCAGGGTGAAGTTCAGTGGCCTCCTGCACCGGCCAAGAGTGTCACGATTGGATGAAAGGTAGGTGCCACAGAAGGCCTGGAGTTGCGCGCGTCGGTTCGGTGGCTCGCAGGAAACCGGTGCCACAGTGGGCGGCCGTCATGTCAGAAGAGACACATATGAAGTCGAACGTTTCTCCAGACTTGCCTGACTCCAACGAATTTAGCTGCGAGTTGTGCTAGTTTGACACAGGATTTAGGGGGGGTTCCTTCTAGTACGGAACGGATCCAGACCTTGAGAAATTGTTCCCAGGTGGACGCAGGGCAGAGGCATCGGCGGGCCACGATTGTAGGTATTGTCGATTCCTGAATCCGAGCTGTTCGTGGGGTTGGCCGCGCAGCTTTCCCAACACAAGCACAGGCTGCCTCTGTTGGGCTTAGGGCTTAGGGTCCTCTGAACGTATGCCCAAAATTTCCAAGCTTGGACAGGATATTCTGCGGGCCCTTCCTCTTGGGAAATTCCTGCCGGGGACGGCCTCCTGCCTCACAAGTCCCTTGCAGAGTCCCTGTTTTGCTTGGGGTTCCGCTTGTTTACCCTTGATTGTCGGGAACTGGCCACGGCGAATTCAACAGATTCCGTGCGGTACTTTGCGAAGGTCCTTCAGATTCATGCATCTTCGGCTCTAGTCCTGCGGTCTGATTTCTCATGCGGTGGCAGCAGGGTTGAGAATTGCAAGTAGTGTGGGAGCAGTAGCATGGGAACCTGGATCCTTGGACCTCCGACTGCATCACGCGCACCACACATACATGTGTATTATTCCTCTGATTGTGGTTATTAGTAAATAAATAAATAAATAAATAAATAAATATATATATATATATATATATATGGTATGATCTGACGTGGCAAGGTAAGGTATCGTATGGCATGGTACGGTATGGTATGGATTGGTTTGATGCAATATTGTAATATGCTTTGCAATATAAGATAATCTCCGACCTTACTATGTTGTAGTATGCTTTATTCCATAGTGTCTAAACAGTTTACTGTAATATGGCATTATATTTTACTATGTGATGTTATATTTTACTTCCATAATGTTTTGCTCTATTATGTGGTTTCTTACTTTATTATAAATGCACGTATATATATATATATACACACTCACTTTTGTTATATTTTGTTACGTTTGTTACGTTACATTGTACATTACACTGCATTTTCATTTTTGAAAAACGTTGTGTTTGCTTATCTTGTATGATATGGTATCGTATTATATTAGAGCGTATTATGCTATCCTTTTTTCTATTCTGTTATATTTTACTGTACTGTATCATAGTATGTATCGTTATGCTATATACTATGTCATTGTTATATCTTTTTTATCATACGATATTGTGTTATGTCATATCATATCACCTTATGTTTTCTGTCATAATAGGATATGACATTGTATTATATTATACTATAAGGTATTGTATTCTGTTTTATTATCTTATTATATATTATTGGGCATTGTACCATACGACCTATGATGGGGTTTAAACCCAGATATTAGATGGTATATCAAATACTTGGCATTGTATATTATGTTTGATATTCGGTGTATTCCATATTAAATGTCAGACATGATATGTTATATGAAACATTTCATAGCATGTGTTATTCACAACAAGAGGCATTTGGTATTACATGTTGTTATGCGCTATATATTGTTTTTCTTCAATTGCATATTGATTAATGTATGTTCTACATTCTATTTCATGTGTACGATGTTTCGTTATACTATACACTATGTTCTTTTTATATGGTATTTTATGTTATTATACTTCTCATGTGATGTTATACTACATGGTATTATACCGTATCATATTATATTACATTCTCATGTTGTACTATGTAATGCATGTATATGTATATATGCATACGTTTTTTTTTAACATATGTACTACTTCAGGATTTAATGTAGCAAAACATAGTGGCACGTATTGTAGTATAGTATCATCTACATAACATAACCCGATATATCAGAGTATAAGACAATATAATATAATATAACCCAAGCAAATATAGTACAGCATAACACAATACATATACATAGTAGCATAAAGAAAAAATACTTTAGTATCACATAACATGACTCTCTCTCTCTCTATATATATACATAGACATATACACGCATGTGCCGTATTATATATATATATATATGTGATATAGTGTTATTTTTTCAGCCGCCGTGATGCACCCTGTGTCTCCGTCTTCGCACCCAAAGCAACGAAGCGTCTGAGGCGGACGTGGTCAGCGTGTCGAGGAAGAGGACAAGAAGAGCAGCAGTGAAGACGAGGAGATAGATTTAGATGAGTTGTGAGGGACAGAGATCGGGCAGTACCCTTTTATACAGTCCCTATATACTTAGAGCGAAAGAGCAGTTGAATTCAGGTTGTGGGATGTATCTAGGTTGGAACAGCAAGTCACACCAGAGTTTCACCCAGCATTTGTATCTGGAGACTCAGATGAAAACAGTGCCTTCTACTGCGCCTGTTGCTTTCGACGGCTAACCTAATCTTCGCTGCTTAACCCGGCATCCCTCATTCCAAGATGTGAGCCCTGATATATGCTCTTCACGCTGAATCTCTCATTCGCAAGCCTTGAGTGTGCAACCATTGCCTCTGGGCGCTGACCCCAAGCTTATTGGAGACTGCTCGACCGAAGGGATGCAGCAACTAAGTTGGAGCGCAGAGTCCTCAAGCACTTTGAGCTAATGTCGGAACCTGATGAAGAACCCCTGGTTCTGGCTAGGCTTCCGAATGTCGGGCCCTATACCACTTTCTTAGCAATCAGCAGCCAGTTTCTTCATTGATCTCCTGCCTTGTATGACTTATCTTACCACTAGCCACTGAAACACAGACAACAGAAGCCTGCAGGGCTGCGGCTCCTTGGCACTGTGTTGAGGTTGCTACGGACCCGTGAGACACCGCACGCGTTAGTCAGCCTCGAACCTTTAATCCTCAACCCTAAACCCCGAACCCTGAAGCAAAGAAAAGCAGCAATTGCTCTCATCTGGTCCGAATTCCGTCCTTGCGCTACCATCTGCCTTTGGCCCCATGTAGCTCATGATATGGGCTGCAGGGAATAGTGTGGATAAGCCGGTCTTACCAAGGCGTAGCATAGGATTTCATGATGTAGAGATCATGTGATGGCCCCTAGGAAAGATGGGTGGGCCATCCAGGGCTTGTGCTTGCGGCGTCTGACCTGTGGTCTGGCCTGAATCCGTTGCTCCGAGCTCCCGTCTTGGTTTTGAACGGTTTCGATGCCAACCCCAGAAACCCTCAACCCTAAGCCCCTAAACGCCCAAAAATACCCCAAACCTGACCGGTTCTCAGCCATTCAACCTATTCAAACTGTGCTTTGATCTGCCTGCTATCTGGCTCGGGACAAAGACCCTCTTTCACGGCCACTGGCCTGAGGGTTTCTACGTTCTGGCACCCCCGGTACTGCAACTTATTGAGAGCGTGAGCTCTCAACTGTCACGAATGATGTGGCCTCGAATTCAGCTGCCGTGGTTTCTCTGCAGCTTAATCTTCGCAGGCCGGGCAAGACTTGGGCCGACTTTGTCTTTGCAATCCTGGGTTTTCTGGGTCCGAGGACCTCGGACGTGTTTGTGGAAACCACCACAGCCGAGCAGCCCGAGGCAGTCGAGGCACCCCAAACGGAGAAGCCTGCCCAAACCGATTTCGCAGGTCTACTACCTCCCCAACCCCAAATCCTCACGAGGGTGGGTTAGCGGCTTATTGAAACCAGCCGTCTTAGATCCGTCTAGTTCCGCCTCTAGAACACGTATACATCCGTATAGTAAGCCATATACCTGCGCAGGTGTTGCCGTGACGCTCTCAGCGGATGTGTGCCACGGAGAAGACCCTTGTGCGGCTAATGCGGGTTCTACGGTTTAGGGTTCCATAACAGGGGGTCTTTCGGGGTGTAAAGGATCCTACTAGGGCTTTAGGAGAGGTTCCGGGGCGGGGGGGGGGGTGTTCTTCAAGGCCGGCCTAGAGGGTCACATGGTGTGGTTCCCATCGTACGATTCTGGAGCCCACACATTCGAGGCAGGGCTTTTTTTGGTTACATGAATCTGAGCATGGAAGTGGCCCGATCCCCTCTACGAACTCACAGGTGCAACTCCAGTATGCACGAAAACCGACAAACCTGCACGGTGCCGCCAGAAGCTGGATGTCAGGAATGTCACCTTATACTTCTACAGCAGAAGAAGGCTGGCCACTGAATCGCGAGTGTGTATTTGTCAGCGCCCGCGGTCGGCTCGCTTCTTGACGGCCAGGGGCGAGTGATGTTGGCCATGACTTAGTATGCAGGTTGCCTTTCCGATTTGCTCATGCCGTGACGTGTTATCCTCTTGTGTCTTCTCCGCCAGGCTCTGCACAGCACGCTCCAGGCAGGATGTTTTCGTTCCTTGTTAGCTGGGTCCTTCGAGATTCCCAGTCTTCAATCAGTGCCCGCGTATTGCATAATGTATGCATAATGTAAGTGCCGCAAATAGGTAAGCAGGTAGGCGGTTGGATAAACACAGATTGCCGATGGATAGACACACGGAAGGACGGAGAGACATACGGACAGAAGCCAGGTAGAATCAGGAAAACACATCGATCGACAACAGCGCATACAGGGAAAGCTCGAAAGTAAAACAGTAACACAGATAGACGGGTCTGACAGGCACAGAGAAGGCAGCAGCGGCAGCAGGGAAGGTACGCCAGACAGGCAGACAAGACAGACAGAAAGGCAGAAAGTCGGGCAGGCAGGCCGGCAGGAATTCTGACAAAAGGATGTGATCGCAGACAGGAGGGCATGCAGTTGGAATGAGATCGGCAGGCAGAGATAAAGGTATAAACATCTATATCTACACTGACAGCATATACATTTTTACACATGTGCATGGATGGATGGATGGGTGGGTGGGTGGGTGGGTGGGTTGATGGCTGAATGGATGAATGGATCGGATGCGGATTGGCAAATAGCTGGACTTGAGAATAGAGACTAACCAAACGACCGAAGGGCGCTCGGAAAGGCGGAAGGAAGCTAGAAAGCAGAAGTCCCAAGCAGCACAGATTGCAAGACAGTTTCAGTGGTCGATGCATACATTATGCATACCCTACTGCTCGTTTGCTCGAACCACCTCACCTTAACCCATGGTCATCTATGATTTCCACCATCTAGTAGAGATACGCGGTAGACAAGTAGGCAGGAAATCGCAGGTTTCGTGAATTCTCTCCTCAGGTTCCGCATCTTGACCCGAACTCCCCTCACTTCCGTTCCTGGGAGCCCAGTGCTCTCCCGTTGTATCAGGAACAGGATAACGACAATGACGGCCCCGCAGAGGAGGTACAGCGTCGGGTATGAGGAGATGTGATTGTACAGGGGCGTTTGTTTGTTTCAGCTTTCGGGGCTTTTCTTGAAACTAACAAACACGGTTTTCAGACTTTGCAAACAGGTTAAAGAAGTGAAAGCCTTAAAGCCCTAAAGCCGTTGATTGCTGACAGGCCGTCCTGGGATACCTGCTCGACACGATGCGCAAGGTGGGTCGCTGTCACTCAGGAACATCGTCTGAAACTCTTGAAAGTGTTGCCTTGTCACTCGGCCAGTAGGCTTAGCTTGACACGATGAATTGCCATAAGCTGCTGTTGCGGCTGCTGAGCTTTACTCAGTAATTAGCTAGTCCTGGGGAGGCTCAGGAGGAGCAGGCGCGACAGCAGGCAGTGGCGCAGTGGGTAGCTTCCCACCAGCAAGGACTCTCAGCTGAACATATCTGTCTGCGCTTATCCTTGTTTTCTGTGAATTGCGCGAATCTTAGGTGAAAACGGCAGCAATTCCACTGCGGCTGAGAACATGGCAAGCAACAGCAGTGGCAACAGTAGTGACAGCAATGCCTCTGACAGCAATTCCACGGAGAGCAACGCCACCGAGAGCAACAGCACGGACGGCAACTCCACCGAGAGCAACGCCACCGAAAGCAACAGCACGGAGGGCAACTCCACCGAGAGCAACTCCACCGAGAGCAACTCCACCGAGAGCAACTCCACGGAGAGCAACGCCACCGAGAGCAACACCACAGAGGGCAACTCCACCGAGAGCAACGGCACGGAGGGCAACTCTACCGAAAGCAACAGCACACAGGGCAACTCGACCGAGAGCAACTCCACCGAGAGCAATGCCACCGACAGCAACAGCACGGAGGGCAACTCCACCGAGAGCAACTCCACCGAGAGCAACTCCACCGAGAGCAACTCCACGGAGAGCAACGCCACCGAGAGCAACACCACAGAGGGCAACTCCACCGAGAGCAACGCCACCGAGAGCAACGGCACAGAGGGCAACTCCACCGAGAGCAATAGCACGGAGGGCAACTCTACCGAGAGCAACGCCACCGACAGCAACAGCACGGAGGACAACAGCACGGACAAAGGCTCGTCCAAGAATGCCACGAGCGAAGGCAAGGAGAACAGCACGAAAGCCACGAACGCAAGCAGCTGTCCCTCGGTTTTTGAGGGGGTCTGGATTCAGGCTTTCATCTTCGATGTTTGAGGGAGGAGGTACTGTTAAGACTTAGTGCGGGAGCTGGCAAGCATATCTGATGCCCATGTGACCAAAACGAAGAGCCCCAGGATCGGAGCAGTGAGGGAGGCCCTGAGATTCGGATCGGTCTTGGAGGAAAGCCTGCAGTTACGAAGCTGAGTAGACTCTGCAGGCCAAGCATCAGGATTTTCTCCATGTTGGCAGGTCGTGATGACAAGTACTGTTCACAGGAGAATATCTGCGTGGCAGCAGTCGCGCGTTTCACCCTGTACGCACCGGTACGGTTTTGTTCCCGCCTTGCACCAGTAGGGGTGCAAGAATGTGGAGTGTCACCCTCCTAGGTCCACGGCTGACAGCGTTTCTCGAGAACTGCGATCTGTTCAGTCTATAGTCCATGAGCCCAGAAGCAGACAACCAGACCTGTAGAGCATGGAGCAGTGATCTTCCAGATGACTCCCGAAATTCTCTGTATGCGTGGTTCTCGGGGTTCTTCAAGTGGCAACCTCAGAGACATGTGCATGGTTGTGGAGGCGTGATTACTGGTGCCAGAAGTGCGATGTTAGTGAAAAGATTTCTGCAAGCCCAGACCAGTTGTCCAATCAGCCGAAACCTTCAACTACGATCCTTGGACGAAAACATACCTTAGACCCTGCGACGGCCCTGCGACCAAGAACGATGGGATGCAGTGCACAACAGGTCTGCGATTTGGAGCGGAAGGATGTGAACTTCGACCTGATCAAGGCCGTCATGCCGTCATGCCGGGTTCCGCGAGCCAAATATGAAGCCAGAGACTCGAAAAGCAAACGGAAAGCCGACTGCAATTGTCGCCCGGTAGTTTTTTCCTAGTGATAAGCTCTCGTTGAAGGCTCGTAAAGATCCACGGGCTCAAGGGTTTGACGGGACTGTTGGATTCAGGCCCAAACCTGGAGCTAGAATCGGTCTTTGCTTGCAGGTTTCAAAGCTGCAGCCACTCAGGGATTTGATTTCAGTTCACTTTGATCCATCACATTCCCCCGCCGTAGTCCTGAGGAGTCCTAGGCCACCCTGGGTCTCTTCGCTCGGCAGGTGGAGGGCAAGGTGGGCGGCAAGTTGGAGGACTGCCTCAGAACGAGAGCAATGTAGGGGCGGGGCTTGAATAATTCTCACTACTCCTTACTAATATTCTATACTGGTTCTTGACGTACAAGAGATTTCGGCCCTGGGGCTGCGTGGCACCCGAGCATGAGCTTTCAGCTTGAGAGTTCAGGGCTATTTCGGCGAGATTCAGATGCATCTTCGGGCCCAGAGGTGCCGCTCAGCGGGCTTTTTGACGGGTTCGGATATTTATGAAGCAAGGTCCTCTTAGTACGGTGACTGAGTAGTGGACTTCATACAGCTTAAATCAGTGCTTCGAAAGACTTCCCCAGCTGATTGCGCCGTGAACCTTCAGGACACCTGCCTGATCCAGGGCATTGTTGTCGACAAGGACTTTAGTCATCCACAGATGCCGAAACAGGTCAAGGCCTGGCGCTGCGTGGTTCGGGCTGAGGGTTTTGCAAACTGACCGGCCTGGGATTTTCGCAGTACTTCCACGGCAGGAGTGCTGTGTTGCTGGCAGAGATGAGAAAAGGTCATGGGCGTACGGCGGACGACTACAAGCAATAACTCTCCGAACCGGTTTGCACTGCAGGATGCCAAAATGGCAATCCTGACGTGCCCGTTCGAGCCACCGAAGCCGGGCGCTCGGCAAGCAGCGGGGCCTCAGCGCCTGATGGTTGTGTATCTCAGCAGAACAGCCTACCTAGAGTCCACACTCCCGAGTCCCTCAACGGTCGTGTTCGGGGTTTAGAGAGGGCAAACAGTCTTCCCAACCTTAGCACTGAGGCCAAAGACAAAGCACAAGCTCGACATCCGCACCGGTGAGGATTACAAGAAGCTGTACGAGCATGAGCAGAAGTGCTCCGTCAGGATTGGGTAAGTGGCTTCTAGCCTGCCTTCAGGTACGTTCTTGCTTCATCTCGTGCATGCAGCAGGTACTTTCGCGAGCAGATCCGACTCATCCAGGACTTTTCCTGCACACCTCGTGCCAAGCATTCTTCCAACTCTCAGCTCTAGCTCGCTGCAGGTCGCCACTCTCTCTCTCTCTCTCTCTCTGTATCTCGCTGTCCTCCCCTCTCTCCACCTGCCGTCCATGAGAACAGAAAGGAGTCAGGTGCAAATCTTGTGATTTGCCAGTGGGGCTTCGATGACGAGGCCGGCTTGAGGAAGTGGCATATATACTATATATCCTAGACTCCATACTCTATACTAAGTACTATATACTGGATACTATATACTACTTACTGTATGTTACATGCTTTAAATATACTTTATACTCTTTACTATATACTCTATACTACACACTGCATACTATATACTGTATGCTATACTAAACTATATTAACATTCACTACACAAAACTGTACGATACTATACTATTTTAAAGTACACTATACCATACTATACTATACTATACTCTACTCTACTGTACTATGTTATGTTAGACTATACTATGCTTTATGATACAACCCGGGATCGATCAAGCAAGAGCCTATGCCACTCCTGAAGTGAAATCCAAAAAATCCGAGCATGCACAAATGCAAAGCAATGCCCTTTGGTCTAAGATCCCCAGCCCTTAGCCGAGCACGGCAGAAGCTCAGAGACTCTTGCGGTTCCTTTTTTCACAGCAGGGGTCAGGAAACACTGTCCAGGTCTGGGTTGTGCCTACGCAAGATGTCTCGTGTTCATGCAGGCCAACCACCTGCTCTTCCAGAACAAGCTTCCAGCTGTGAGGCGATCTCCTTTTCCCTCGTTCCTCATTGTCTGTTGATACATGATTTCCGACAGACTTCTGCTGCTTCACACGAGAACTGTCCAATGCCTGATCTCTGTGTGGAAAAGGTGGGTTGGTGGTGTGGAGCTAGAGCTCATCGCCATCGCCACTGGCGGGAGGAAACGAGTTTTTTTGGAGATGGTTGTCTTTCGGGTAATCCATGACTGCAGACCGCCTGGAACACCCGAAATCGACTGGCAGGATCGTTCCACGTTTTGAGGAGTTGACTGCCGACAAGCTCGGAAAGGCAGGGCGTCACATCAATGTAACGAGTTTTCAGTGGGGGCCCCTGTAAAGGCCGGACCGAGCTTGGTCCAATGAAGTGTTGCTGTGGGGCGTGCATGGATAGGTACGTTTGAGCTTCATTTTAAATATGTTCTTAGGTTGCTTAGGCATTGCAAGACCATACATCAGCACATCACCATGCCAGCTAGCAGCCTCGAATCCCTCCAGCCCAAAGACATCGACAATGGGAGAAACCTCCTCCTGAATTCACAACCCCCTTCAACGAACCCTGGCCCTGTACCCACTTAAATCCTACACCCCGAACGCTCAAAAAAGAAAAGGTGCGCTCTTACTCTTACTGTAGCACCTAGACCCTGAACCCGCAACTTTACTCTCAAGCGCCAGACCTCTAAACCCCAAACCCTTGATCCTAAGCCTCCACACCCTGAGCCTCTGCGCTCCAAACCAACCCTAAGCCTCCAGCACCCCAAGACCCGAGGACCCCTGAACCCTAAGCCCCAAACCAGCCCCCACAAGCCTAGCGCCGTGCCAAGCTTCGAGGCAGGGCTGGTCCGCGAGGTCACCTTCGGCACGATGAAAGAGCAAATGCTCATCATCGAGGCGGCCAGGGGCTTCCTAGAAGGCTTACTATCAGGGTGGCCATGAGGTAAGAGGGTTGCTAGACGGGTCACCAAAAAGGATCGGTTGTGAGCTCCTGCAACACACCCGTCGTTGATTTTCGGCCATCTCTGTCCGTGCTGGACGCATTCCAAGACCCAAGCTATCCCAAGCTTCAATCCCCTGAAGGAGTGTGGCAAGAGCAAAGCGGTCACCGTGCTTGTTCGTGGTGGCAACCAGATGGCGGGACGGGCTTCGATGTCGCACTCTGTGATCTAATGGGCCGTCGAGGCTAAGCTACGGTAAGTGACCCTTTCACCACTGCTCTGTCGACTGCTCTATTGTTGTGTCGTCGGCTTCGCTGGAGCAGTGCCACACGACCGGGTTGCGGCATTTCAGCTGTACTGGTAGTCAAAACGACCGGAAAACATGTTGGGGACAGGTGACAGCGTTTTTCCGCATTTTATTTTGCATGGCATGGACCTGTCCTTCTTGACTCCAGGACTCTGGGACTCTGTGCAGGGGGACACACCAAACCATCTCGAATACCTGCGTTCAGGATCGAGCAAATTCTGCACAAAGCAGCCTCAGAACAACCCGGCGAACTGTTCGCTTAGTTTGTCTCTTTCGATGTCAGATGCACGCGGTCTGTAGAGACTTCGCAACGGCAGAAGAGTGCAGGTAGTGGACGAGGCGAAGAGATGTCTCCATGATGCAAATTGCTGCGTCAGGACTCCCCTGTGTTGTGCAACTTATGCTTTTAAGGTCGGGTGTCGAGCAATCGTTGTCCACTTGCGACTATCGACAGCAGCGTGAAGCCGCACCTGCCATTCGCAGATGCTTTAAAACATACCGGCAAGGGATGAGCAGTTTACGGAGACTGATGTCCTGCTCGATGAGGCCCCTTCCTGATTCCACAAACAAATTACATGAGAAGCGCCTGCCGCTCGTGAGCCGTCACGCCAAATGGAACAAATTGCAGAGACTCATGATGTCATGCCTGCAGGCAACGCAGATTCACACAGCTCTGCACACAGACACAGTGTGCTCTGCCCGGCTTTGCGCAGGAATCTAATTCGAGATCCGCGAGTTGTTCCCGGAGGAGGTTGGAAGCACAGTGCCTAAATGTAAGTTATGCCACTCCCCGGCTGCAAGGAGCCAGCGAGATGGCTGCTTCCTTGGCAGTTCTGGCAGCTGCAGACAAGGAGCTCTGGAGCTCTGGGGACTTGGCTGTAGTCCGGAGGGATGTGCTGCCGGGCCAGGAGTTCAAGACTTTCGAATGATTGTTGGACAAGCCAACGATTGTAGACAAGTGCAGTAGACAAGTGCAGCGTTGCACGATCTCCACGACCCAGATTCCCCAAACCACCAAAAAGCGGGTTTCCAGGAGCAGACGATTGACCAGTGCGCTCGCCTGGCTCGCACTGCACAGCCTCATACTTGTTGGATTCCGGCGTGAACACATGGGCTACACATTTTCAGAGTCGGCTCTGCTCGATTTCGAAGTTGACCCACATAGAGACTTGCAACAACGGGCGTATGTGGATGCAGAAAGATCTATAAAGATCTTGATGAGGAGGCAGGCTCTGCTATGGTACGCCCAAGGCCTCGGAATTGAGGATGCTCAGCGTCCCCCCCCCCTCCCACGGCTTGTTGCAGTTTGCTGCCGGAGTTGCAGACGTGCTTTCTGCGGCCCACTTGCGCCTCATGAACTGGACGAGGTACAGCATGAAGGGCTTCGCATCTGCGCTAGATGTGATCCCAATGGTGGGCTCCCCAGGATTTCGGATGCTTCACTCCAAAATCGGCTTCCGTGCATGTGCACCGATACCTTCTTCGACCTCGGAAATAAATCCAGCTCCCAATCTCGATGCCACGGATGATCCGCGGAGGGCAGCCACAGTCTCTACACGATCCATGAAACCATTTAGCCCATTTAGAAAGCAGTACACCTGCTCAATTACGCCACGAGGCACTCGCTGAAAACAGCGGCCTTCAGGGGATTGCAGAGATGGCGAAGCTCAAGGCCCTCCAGGGATTCTGGTTAAGCTTCTGGTGCATGAGGTAATGACGTCGAATCCTCTAGGCTGCCCGTAGTCCCCAGGAAATGACAGTATCACAGGACATTGAATATGCCTATATATATATATACATATACATATATATACATATATATATATATATATACACATACATACACACGCAGGCGTCTGACGTTCCCGGCCCCCGGTATGGTCTGGTAGGGGCGGGGGGGGAGGGCTGGCGTGTGCGGAGAGGGGCGTTGGAGCTGCAGCTGGAGGGTGGGGTGCTGGGGGGCAGCCGGGGTCACAGAGAGGGCCGGGATCATGCACAAGCCCTACGCAAGCCATAAAGCGTATAACGTAGCGCGTGCTCCTTGACCCTACACCCAACCCTAAACCCCGCCTCAATGCAGGCTCTAAGCCTGAAGCAAAACATACACCGTCCACCCTAACCAAGCTACACCCCAAACCCTCTCTAAGCCGATGTCGACTCGAAACCTTCTACCTCTCAACCCAAAACCCTAAACTCCAAACTCAAAAGCTTAATAAACCTAAAACCCGAAAACCCCACAACCACCCCACAGGGGGAAGCGGGAATCCACACCCCACCCTATGGGGGGGAGGCGCGGAGCGCCTGACCATATATATCCATATATATATATATATGTATATGTGTATGTGTATATATATATATATGTGTATATATATATATGTATGTATGTATGTATGTATATATATATATATATGGCCCTCTCCCTCTGTGGTTCCATTATGGGTTTGGTTCCCGCCCTGTCCCTCCCTCGAAGATGGTGATTACGATCCCGGTCCGCATTCTCCTCAGGTCCCTTGCTCAAATGTACGAGAGTTCCAAAAGACGTCGACATTTATGTTGATGGGGGGGGGGCATACCATGGGGGGGGGGTGTGGCACTGACGCGGCGACGCGGGACCAGATATACATGTGTACATATATATATATACACATTTTTTTATCTTTAGGTGTATGTGTATATATATATATACATAATTGAAAGTTCGAGCTAGAAGCAGCCCACTGGACGTGACCGGATTCAGCCATCGCTTCTCCAGGCTATCCAGGAGACGTCTGGAAACGCCTGGCATGGTCATCGACTCAGATTGTTGAACCTGAAGTTTTCCCCGGTGAGGATTTCGGAATCGGTGGCGCATTTCGGGAGTGAGCGCAGCACCAGTGGACCACCGTTTCTAGAAGGAGAGGGCGTTGACCCGAAACCCGGCTTTGTGTTCGTACTGCCCTTCCCAGGGCCGCCGCAGCAGTTTCTAAAGACGTAGAGACGGGCTGTCGTGCAGGTGTCGGAGAGGTAATGTAGAGGCCTAAATGATTACCAATACTTTTCCTCAGGGTTTCGTACCATCGTTAAAGTGTAGTATACCCCGAAACCCGATTCTATTTGTTAAGGCCCCTATACTATACTACTCTGAGGCATTCATGAAGGCCCCTATATCACTCTGAGGCATGGCCAAGTGACGTCCAGGGAACCTCCAAGCTGAGGTGTTGACTGCATGCAGACCGGAACGACGGATATGTGGGCACAGAGCATCTACGAGGTGACGGAGAGATCCCTTTAAGGGCACTCTACGTATCCTTTATGGGGTTGGCTTCAAGGGGTATGACGGAGCTCAGGGGTTGACAGGGCTGTCTCTGCGCGCAGTGTGCTTGCGGGTCCGAAGAGTTTTGAGGCTCCGTGGCGTGGGTCTTCGTGTCTTGCAGTCTTTCATTACTCACAGAGTGCGACATATGCAAGCAGCATCTGAGTTGTGGGCACCACTTCGAGGCTTCAAAGCCGATCACTACGCCTAATCCCCAATGACGTAGATACCGGCTGTCTCACGGGTCATCTTCTTCTTCTATAGCACTTCACAACAATGAGTAGGGACGGGAAGCCAACATTTGATCTCAGAAGTCCCAGAACTCCGCTGTCCGAGGCGTGCGCCTCCAAGAGCTCTCAGCTGCGTTTGGCCACCCAGGTGCCGAGCTTACATCCTTTGCAGAGCTTCGTAGTATCGGAACAGCCAGGACACCCTTTGGCATAGTGTAGTATAGTGTAGTTTTGTATAGTGTAGTGTAGTGTAGTATAGTATAGAATATATATATATATATATATACACATGTAGAGTCGTACACGGTATAGTGCAGTATGCAGTATAGCGTGTAGCATAGTGTCTTGTCTTGTATAGAGCATAGTACAGAGTACAGCATAGAGTACAGTATAGAGTATTGTAAAGCCTGTAGTTTACAGTATAGTGTAGAGTATAGTCTGGATGAGGGCATGGAGAATTGTATAGAGCATAGTGTATAGAGCAAAGAGAAACAGTATGGAGTATAGAGTACAGAGTATAGAGCATAGAGTATAGTATAGCATAAGATGCCCGACAGAGCAGCGGTAGGGTAAAAGCAGAAGAAGAGCACACTACACTGATGCTGTACCACCCTCGCAGTGTGCTGCTACAGAAGATGCAGAAGTTCTGGGATAGTAGAGTCGAACAAGAGGTGTATAAGGCCTTGCTTCGGTTCTGCAGTTCGGGGTTTAGGCTATATGACACGAACCAGCGGTTCGGAGTTCAGGGCTGCGCGGCACAAAGACTGGCCAGCCCACCACAGCTTTCGTGGCTCAGATCAGTCCAAACCTATCCCTTCGCCCCTTCGTCTTCCCTAGGCAGTCGCGAACCATAGGTCCTGAGTCTATAAGGTGACTGTGATTGGCTAATTATCAAGCTTTCCGTTCAGCCTGCCGCAACCTTGTCGGGGGTGGCATCATTCATCCGACCCAGTTTGGCATGTGAAAGTATCCGACCTAAGTGTGAGCCCAGCTCAGGTCGTAAAGATGATCTTGAAAATCGATGACGTGCTCACTACATCCGACGCTATCGATGGCTAGTCGACACGTCCATCTCGCTGCTGCTGCTATGCCCTACCAAAGCTAGAGATCCAACAAGACGTGCAAGTATCAAGCATGACCGAGCTTTCCCAAGATCAGCCAAGCGACATGTAGCACTGAGCCAGGCAGAAACCCTTCCACACACTTCCCTGCATCAATGACATAATGACCCAAGTAAACTGATAGACTGGTGGTGATACTACAAGGCTAGCTAATAGCATGCAAGGGGCTTGGGGATTGCACTGACCCTGTTGACTGTTTCGGGGGCAGGAGTGTCCGACAAGCAGCGGCGTGCAGGGGAAAAAGGCACTGTGTTTGAAGGCTTTAAGTCTCTGATGCTTTGGGATGCACATGGAAAGTCTGAAGGTTTGAGAGCTTCAGGAAACACAAGTGCGTGAAAGCCGCATAGGCCTAGAAACTCTCACGATGCCCACCAGACCAGACTGAACTCCCAACGGCCCTCTTCCAAAGGAGAAGTTTGCCCGGCAATCGCATCTGCACTGTTGAGTCATGGATCTAGCATGCAGCTGCTTGTTTCTGCTACTTCCACAAGCGTTGCAGTACTACCCCATATTCACGGATCTGGTGTGTGCATACAAGTTCCTTAGCACGGCATGACGGTCTTGCCGAGATGAGTGTGTCCGGTTGAGGAGTTGCGCTACTTTCCGGCAGTTGGGAGGCTCGAAACACAGCGAGCATCAACCTTAAAACAAGCCGAAGCCTTCATGTCTCCGCTGATCCTTGTGCTGGCCTTCTATTCGACCGGTGTTGTGCTGGGTCAGGTCCAAAGCCGTGAGGATGCCCTGCGCTGCGCAGCTGAACCCTGGGGTCGGTACTCTGCCAGCGGTGGCCTGTACACCGTGAGTGGCGAGAAATACATCTACACTTTCAGTGGAGACACCACAAGCCACGAGGATAACCGGGGAGGTGTTGTGAGCACCAACTGGAGATTCCGGCTCAGTGGCAATGGCACCAAGTGTTGGGAGAGGCTTGCCGACAGCCCCGCTGCAGTAGGCTATCGCAGCACAGCGACCGTTCTGAACGGCACCCATGTTTATCTCTTTGGTGGCGGGGACACCAGCTATGCTGCAACAGGTCATTTCTGGAGGTATTCTTTGCTCGATAACATGTGGCAAGAGCTGCTCCCTTCGGAAGTTGAAGGGCCTTGGCCATCAGAACGCTACAAACATGCCACGGTGAAGCTCTCTGAAACGAAGATGCTGCTTCTGGGTGGCCGGCGAGGTACCACGGTCCTCTCGGATGCCTGGCTCTTTGACCTTGAAGGGATGGCATGGTCGCTCGTGGGCAGCAACATCTTGCAGGTGTATCGCCATGGCATGACCTACGACCCCCGAAGGCAGGTCGTTTGGATCAACGGGGGTCTTGATGGTAACCGACAGCGCTACGGATCGCAGCTGTGGCGTTGGAATGTCTCTACATTCGACATCGAGCTTGTGCCGACAGAGGGTCCCGGGCCCACTCGATTGGCGTCGCATGCTGCAGAGTACATAGAAGCTCTGGACGCGCTGCTCTTTTGGGGTGGCACATGTTCCGACGATGTCCAGCTGTACCTGTACAACATTGCAAGCAGCTCTTGGTGCGCAGTGTACGCTGCCAATCGTCCTGACAGGCGTGATGCCATGGTTTGGGCACTGGACTATCCCAAGTTTTACACTGCTCAAGGGGACCTTATCTGTCACAACTTCGGAATTTATCCCATCTCCGACGTGCACATGTTCGACTTCGAAGCTCCTGGTCTCGGCTGGCAGATGCTTTACGAGCCACGGAGCGAGAGGGGGACGGGCACTGAGGCCTACTGCGACGGCACGAACCGGGGCTCCTGTGACTAGGTCGCCGAGTATAGCAGAGGGGCCTTAACACTTCGAATGATATTCATGAAAGCCATTCAGATTCCGGAATCTCATCTTGGGATGATGCAGTAAACCTCTGAACCCTATTCCAAAAATCTAAAGCCCCAGCCTTACCTGTACACCCTTATTCATTCTGCAGAAGGAATGCTGTTTTTTGCTGGATCTCCTCCCTACTACTGGGAGCCGAGGTCAACCGCAACCCTTGCTTGCAGAACGAAGATCTCGTCTGAGTCAGCCCGAAGGATGTGAGAGCGGCTACATGGCTTCCCTCTCCAGCTGGACTACAACGACTTTGCCCAATACCTCTGGGTCACCGGCCTGGGCAGGCACTTGCAGAACTGTCGTCTTGTCTGCTTGCATCTTTGGGATCGTCACTCTGTTGTAGACCCGGCCTTTCGACACGTTTCACGTCTCGACTCGTCAAGCAGACCGCGTTTTAAGGCGACGTCTTAGGCTGGTTTTCTTGGCCATGGAGGCTAGCACTTGCTCTGCCAGAGGTATGGCGGGGGATGAGAAAAGAGCATGAGCTAGCATGACAAGTCACAAATCATGCGCCGCGGGATTCTGCTGCGTCCAACTCATCCCATGACTGCTCGGCGTGATGGGCTCCAGCACAGCAGTGTCGCAGAATGGAGTCAAGAAAGGCTTCACGTCCATTGCAGCCATCTACCATGAGGCCTGCGTTTGGAACATGTATGAACAACCACGGCTCCCATCACAAATCAAGATTTGCATCGAATTCCGAGCGCCAACATGCGAAGTATGCATGGTTCGTCAGGCCAAGGAGGCAAAGCCACACTAAGCCTGAACATCGAGCACAATCTCACATCTGTCGCTTGTGGCTTCTGAGAGCTGCCATGGAGAGCTCTGCATGCCAGCCCCAGCCCCAGCTGTCTTGTTGGGAAGGCTATCCGCTATCGGTGCTCTACAGCCAACGTCACGCAGCTTCCACATGTCCTATCACAACGGGTATTGAACAGTAGACCGACACGCTTTGTTTGGAAGCTTTCCCGTCCGTGAGTCAGAGGGAGAGCGGTGTGTGTGTGTGTGTCTGTTTGCTTAGCGAGGTGATCACCTTCGCCTCCCTAGCTTTTCCAAAAGTATTCGTCGCGATTTACGTAAGTTTGCAAGAACAGGGTCGGCAAGAAGGTTCTGCCCCAAGATTGTGTTGTAGTGCCACGGATCATTTGGAAGCCGCAGAAAACAGCATGAGCCCACCATCAAGTTGCGGTGTCTGTTTCCAGTGACCCTGGCTTAGACAGGATCACCTCCTCTGTTCCCGGAGCTCTAACCAACATGCAATGGCGCCATCTTTAGTTTGGACCCAGTCCAAGTGTCCGGATCCCGTTCGTGACAAACTACTAGCTACTCTTTGAGTTACAGAGGACTCCTTAACACCACGAATTCAAAGGTATACCGGTATACTGCTTAATGAAGCCCATCTTCACCACCAGCAAGGACCAATGGTGCGGCTGTGCCCTCGAGGGGAAGGTGCAGATTGAGGTGTGCTTCAGGGTCGCCGCGAAGCCGAAGTTCCGTTTCGGTTCAGTTGTAAGTCCATCCTGGAGAAAGACGAGGCTGAAACGGCTGTTCTCCACGTTTTCGAACGACTCTGTTTTCCTCCGTCCGCCAAGCGGTGTGAACACGTGGGCACCGGGTGTTTGCAGGGGTTACCAACTTCTGCCTGCTCCCTGACATGTTTTTCTTCAGAGCCTCAATTTTTGATGGGCTCTTTTGGAAGGTGTGCCGTGCTGCTCCAAGAAGTTTTGATGGTAGGGACCAAAGGCCAAAGAAGCACGCACAGAAACGCATGAAGGCCTGCGTCCTTGTAAGATTACCTTCAAGAGTTTCCTGGGTTCTTCTAGGAGTACGGGCACAATCTAGTCAATTCCTCATCTTGAACACATGGCAAGCACAAGTCTTGGTCCACTTCCCTGAGTAAAGCCAGGGCGAACCTTCGTCGTGCTGCTGTGCTGACACTGCTGGCCACTGGGGTAGGGGATGCATCAGGATCAGGGATCGGCTTCAGGGGCGAGGTGTGTAGGGAATGAAAACCCAAGTGAACCGTTTGCAGGGTTTCGGGCGCGCTCTGACTTTCACATTGGCTTCAGTCTTTCAATATCGACCTCGCTAGCACCGGCACTCCACGCCCCACAAGCTTTAAAGCTAAAGCCAAACCCCGGCAAGAGCTCTTACCCTCGAGCCTGGCTAGTTGGAGGATGATGAGACTCAGCAACTGGAGCTATAACTGAGGTAACCATAACAAGGCTCCAGCAGAATGGCTTGCGTGCTTTAGTCGGCAGAAGATGGTTCCAGTAGCGGGAACAAAGAGTGCCTTGAAATTTGCTTGAACTGGTTCTAGCGTACTGTAAGTGACAGCACAAACTGCTTGGTCGGAAATTATGTTTCGCAGCTTTTGGAGGCTTTGAGAGACGGTTTCGCGTTGATGCTACAGGATATTGGGCCTTCAATGCGCTTGGGCATTGTGCAAGGCCCAGGGTTTCGGCGCGGCGGCAACGGATATCGCGGTTCCGCTACGGTTGCGCTGCGGCAACGGATGGGGTCGGCGTGGCCGTTATCACGGCCAGGGCATGGTTGCGCTGCACGCACGGGTCCTCCGGACACAAGCATCGTCGGAGTCTGAGCACGGATGCTTGCGAAAAATCGCAAACCACGAGGTTAAAACTACCGGAACCACCAACGCAGCGTACATTCTGGGCAGTTCAACCACGCGAAGCCTCGTAAAACTGCCGGGTGAAACGGCATATGCGTTTTGCGCGGTTACGTTGCGTCGGAGCCAACAAGAATTACGCAGACGTAGACTCTCGATCCAGGTACTTATAACCCTGGCTCCTAAGGCCCAGGATCCTCAAGTGGATTATAGCACATACTATAGTATACTAGCAGGTGATATGGTCGGTCATAGCCACTCATACTTTTGTTAATTTAGCATCGCATTTTTATTCCAGGCGAAAAGGGCCCTGGCTGTTTTAAAAGCCGCAGGTAGCGGCCTGGCCACAGACCAACTTTCAGCTCTGCACGCGAGGCAGGGGCCTTCTTAAAGAGGGTAAATTGGGGGGCAAAGAGGGTGAGAGCTTTTCAGAGCCCCTTTTGGGGTGCCTTCTACATGTTCTTGAGGCGGGGGATCATGCGCCAGGGTTGGCAGACAAGGAGATAGGAATCAACCCATGCATTGCAATGTCCTCCCTATCCGTTACCGTGCTGCGTTCAAGCCCAAGCTTGCTTCATATTTTCGCAAGTCGCACATCTTCCCGGATGTCATCCATGCCATAGCTTCTTATGGTGCTTATGCTAGCGCATCTGTGGGTCTACAAGTCCTTGCTCTCAAGAACAGGGACCCTGGCAGTGCGTTCCTGCGGTCGAACGTTGAGGACGCGGAGGCAGCACTGGTTCAGGCTTCAGCTTCTTTGAAGGTGGACGTGAAGGTGTGGGGCTGAGGCCATCAAGGGGGCTTTGGTTGCGTGGCCCAGATCTGGGATCAGGAACTTGATCACCGGCTGTGGTTGCGATGCGGTATTGTTAGAAAGGGGCGCATGCTTAAATCCTAAGCTTGAGAAGCCGACACACTCCTCTATTTCCATGAGACGCACCATCCAAGTTTCTGCGGATCCCCTCCACAAGGAAGCAGACTTGCAATTAAGCACCGATGCAACGAATCAAGCTGCACCTTCATCGGTGTAGAACCGTAGAATTTTCCCTTCTTTTGCATGACCGGGGACAGTTTGAGTTCGATTCGCTCGGTTGGGTTTGGTCGCTTCCGGCCTCGCTTGGTGTTGGTCCAGGGGTCGGAGAATCCTCGCTATTTGGGGTGAGTTTGTCTTGATTCTCAGTGTGTTGAGTGCGCGCCTATTTTAGTTTGCGATGATGCTTGCTCGTGGCGTGGCATCGACAAGCTCCACTGCAGCTGTGGTTCTTCCAGCACGAGTGAGCAGTCTCAGACATCTCGACTGTTGTCGCAGCCTCTTGTGTTCCAAGCAGCTGCATGGCTTGAACACGCTTCTCTTCGGGACGTTTCAGTTGCAGTATGGCCCACGTGACTGCGGTATGGACATGCATGAACCTCCGAACCCTCCCTACCCTGAGCCCTAAACTCCCCACACTCCTTGAGCGCACCTTTGATTCTCAGCATCAGGGCGGCGATGACCCATGCCCGGGAGCGGTTTCGCTGGGGCAGGCGCTACCCGAAGCCCGAGGCGGCGAGATCACGTGGGATGGGGGGCCCTTATTTCGGCTTGGCTTTCCAACGCGGGGTTGTAAAGGCTCTGGGGGTTTTCATTTCTGCGGGCTTCAAAGGATTCCGAAAGTTACAAGTGTTGCTGTGTAGGAGTTTCTACAATCCGGGGATACGTCATTCCTATCTGAAGCGCCTAGACGACCGCACATCCCCTTGACATGGGCTCTGCAGCCACCCACCACCCCAAACCTCGAAGCCCAAGAGTCAAGCCTCTAAACGCAGGATCCGCCGTTTCCACCGGGCATGGACGACCCTCTTCCCTGGCCCACGGAAACCGCAGAGGCTGGCGTTTCTTGAGGGCCTTCTATAGGGGACCCTGAACCCTAAACCCGAAACCCTAGCCTCAGCCAAACTTGGCATTCGACCTAACTCAACCAGGCAGGTGGAAAAGAGGTGTCAAAAAAAACCCTAAACCCTAAACCCTGGTTTCGTGTTCTAATTGGGCTTCCTCTTCGGGGCCGGCCTTGGTCCTGAGCCAGTGATTTCATTCAGGACGAGTAGGGCATGCGGGAGTGTTGTGAATTGCTTTTTATCCTGGAAGAGGCCCTGAAGCTGTCATTTCGATGACTTTTTCCCGATGTTTCTTGGAGCATCAAGAAATTGAAGTGGTCTCGACCGGGGCGCGTTGTCTCCTCAGCCCAGATCATGATCGATGCCCACAGCGTGATCCCATGGTTTTGGGCGGAGACCGCCAAGATTGAAGAGGACACCCGGAAACCTCATGTGTAGGTGATGTGGCAGACACGGTGGCTGCAGCTGGCACCTTTCACATTCATGCTTTCGAACATGGGTGTGACGCTGCAGTACAGTTTGTTATTCGATGCATCTGTCCATGACAAACCCCGACGTCCGACCAGATATTCACTCCCGCGCTTGCTTCAGCTTGGTTGCTTGAGTTTCGTCGGCCGGCAACCAGTGCCAATGTAGAGTGGAAGTTCATAGTGCCCGGGTGTGGGTTCTAGATCCTTTCTTTGCCTGTAATTTCCGAGATGGTAAGGCTTAGGGTCTTATGGTTTGGGGAAAGGGTGTGAGGGTTCAGTCTAGACTTCCTTCACTGCAGTTCGCCAGTGATGGGCCAGCAACCACGCAATTCTCCTGGATGGGAATGAACTTGCGAGACGTGGCTATGACGTTCAAGCTCAAGTTGTCGTGGTTTCATGAAAGGACCTGGACTTGCGCCACGACAAGTTTTCGTTCTGGCCCGCCCGGATTGCCAAAGCGGGGCAGGCCGGCAGTTGGGGACCTCTCGGCCATGACCTCTAGGAGCACTACGACGTCCTTCATGGGCCGTTGAAAGAAAAGTTGGCGATACTGCCGGACCACGAAAAGCCACAGTAAAACATGGATTTGCAAATCCAATCCTGAAACAACAGCCCGCCTTTGCTGGGTAAGCAGAAGTCAAACCGAAGTATGTATGGTGCAGGCCCTGCTTTCCCGCTTTGGGCTTTCGCGGCCTCCATCACCGTGGAGGCGATTTGGCCGTAGAGGTTGTTGAATTGAGTATCTGAAAAACCGGCTGTCCCTTGCCCTCTCTTGCCCGAACCCTTGAGCTTGACAGCATAAGTGACGAGGACAGATGTCAGCACCTTTCGCTTGGATCTTCTGCCTTGCATTCAAAGCACATGGCCACCCGAGACAAGGTCTCCAGAAGCCCTAGAGCTTGAAACACGAATCAGGCGAAGGAAAAGAGGTGATAACAAAAAAAGAAGAAAATCGTGTTTCTGCGAGTCTCCATCTGGACCTGCATGGGGCAATAGCTGTTTGACTCGGTTCATGCTGGATTCCACTTACAATCTGTTACATTGTGGGGGTTTTGGCATGGTATCGTGAGTGAGGACCCCACCCACACTAGAAGTCACTAGTATCCTAGGCCCTGCACCACAGCACCCTAGTCACCCCATGAGCCCAAAACCTCTGCGCAGTCCGATCATCACGGTGCGCCCTGCCTGCTGCGCTTGTTGGAAGGTTTGGGATTCGGGATTCGGGATGAGTGTGTGGTTGTTGCGCTTAGGGTTGTAGGGTTGGGCTTGCCTGAGCTAGAACGTTCAGGACAGCAAGAGGGAGTGACTGAGCGACATGGAAGGCTCATTCACCTCTCTGGGCTCGCGGGGTTTGTTGGGGCATTCGGGGTGACAGGTGCTGGCTATGGGTGCTTAGGGATGCAGCGCAGGGCTTCCTTGAAGATCCGAGCACGGCCCGGAGTTAATCCGGGCATGAGGCCGCAGGCTCTCCTGACCCTTGCGAAGATTGAAAGATAGGTGAGATGGTATATAACAAAGCAGAGTTCCGGCAACGGGGATACGATCCAACAGCGAGTGCTGCGAAGTGCGAACATTCCGTGAGCACACTGCTGTGATGTACTACAGTATGCTTTAATCTACCATAGGTTTTCTCTCACTTCTCCAGGTATTCGACCTTCCGGATCCCGGCAACACGTGGAATGGGCAGCAGGTCAGGAAGCCGTGGTAGCAGACGGGCCATCCGGCATAGCTTCCTCTCAAGTTGGGCCCAAGTCTTGGAGGTAGCTTGAGCCTCTTTGTGTGCTTGTGATGGGCCGAATGTGAACTTTGCAGAATTCTGCAGCCTTGAAATTTCGTCCCAATGTTGATCGTCGGAACGTTGACTTAAAGCTTATCCGGACTTGCAACAAAGCAGCGGGGTTCCCAGCGAACTGCCGTGACGCTTCCGTGGTGGTGGTCGTGGTGCTGGCGGCGGGTATGCTTGTGCTGTGTCGTCGTCTGTTTCGTCACCGTCATCGTCGTAGCAGGTAGTCGTAGTTCTGATTCTTCTTCTTCTTCTTCTTTGTTCCTTCCACGCCCTACCCTCGCCGCGCAGATCAAGAGATATCGGTCCCTAGCACGACAAGGGCCGCGGCAGTTCAACAACGTCACCTTAGCGTCCGGGCCATCGCATGTTTGGTGGGTCGAGAGACGGTCGAACTATGCCTGGGCTGCCTGAGCTTGGTAAGTTCAGGGCTTCGGTTGCCATCTGCACGGGCCTGTTTAGGGTTCTGCTTTTTGTGAAGCTCTCAGCTTTGTCTTGAGGGTGCGAAGTGGATCGCCTCCCAGCCTGTTCATGATGACTTCTGGGCCGTGCGTGCCACTTGCGACCTGCCGACGTCTTCTCTTGGCTCGGAAAGCTCATTTGCATAGGGCCTATACAGGGGCCTTTGGAAGGTACGAGAAGCTGTCTTGCCTTCTACATCGTCCAAACCCCAGCCCCTTGAGACTGCTTAGTGGCCCGGCCCTCCACCCAGGGCCCGCCCCAGTAATTCAGTACCCCAGGTCCAGCCTGCCAAAGAACCTCCAAACGGTTTTCCCAGCAACGTGTTCAGGCGTCGCGTTGCAGATGCTAAGCTTACTAACCCGAACCTGTACTTCACTCCTCGATTCCATCCGTTTTAGCGGGCCGCCTCCACAGTGACGCCGAGCCCGGCTTTGCGCCACTTGCCCTGAACTTGGAGCGCAGGCCCGTGTGTTTTGAATGCAGGGTATTCAGGGGAGGGAAGTCACATGATGTGGCGAAATCGTTGAGCATGGTCATGACAACGTCTGCGGCATCCCTTACATTAAATTCAGAATGCTTTCCGATACCATTCCTCAGGGCCTTAGGGTTCCTTCATTCAAAAAAGTATGCTAACTATAATGATTTGCCACGCCCTTCTGTCTGGCCCCGGTCTCTGCCGGCGAACCATGTCTTAGCTACGGGAAGAGTGTTGGAATCTTGATGGTGGAGATCACCTGAGCCTGCCCCAGCAAACCCCAGCCTGCAAAAGGGATCCGGTCCTAAACCCCCAATTCGACATCGAATTTAGGTTCGATCTGCTAGTCTTTGGGCACGCCCAGGAATACTTTCGCCACCGCTCCATGAGCGAGCTGGACGCAGAGGACTTCGAGGAGTGCGCGAGGGAACGCGACTCCAGCAATTCCTAAACCCTAAACCCTAAACCCTAAACCCCTAAACCCTAAACCCTAAACCCTAAAGCATCTAAGGGAGCAGGCAAAGCGGCGAACGTCGCATTCGAGGGAAGTTCAAGAGTCTGGTCCTGATTCGGCTTCTTGGGTGCGGGCCGGACATCTGCTAACTCTAACGCCTAGGAAGGGCGCACCCCAGCTTTAAAGGAAGCCCAAAACGGTATAGGGTGGGTGGGGGGGGGGGGGCATTTGCTGCGGCTTCTTCAGGTCTGTCCTCGGTGCGAAAGACGAACCCTAAATTTTGAAAGAAAGACATTGTTGAGCCCCCCAACGTTCGAGACGAATCTCCAAGAGCCCCTTTGGAAGGACTTCGAGGTGCCATGCGAGGCCTGGAATCGGGGCTTTTGCATGGTTCAGCATTCGGAGTTGTTTCTAAGGGGTGATGCCGGAAGTTTGGGGTGGGGGTTGGGATTGAGCTATTGATTGCATTTTCTGGTGTCCTTGAGCATTGACTGGAGTATGTCTGGCGGAAGTGTTCGATACTTCTGTGCATGAATTTCTTCTTGATGGTACTGAAATCGTCAGGAGTACTAGCTGATGCCAGCTACTCCCGATACCTGCGTGCAATGCTGGTTATTGTCGCAGGAAGGTGAGTCGAGATACTTGAGCTGAGCACCATCATTGCATGAATGCTTAGGTCAGAGCAAGACCCCCCTGTTCTCTCACAAAAACGATTCCCGACAAATATCATGTAAGACTCAGACCACAACTCTCATGGGCTGGTGCATCTGTCGCATAGATCAGGGCGTTGTCTCAATCGATGCGGCCGCGATGGCAACAGCCACTGCTGTTGATGAAGCCAACCTGTCATCTGTCGCTGTCGAGCAGGCGCACTTAGTTTGAGTGGCTCGTGGCATTCGGGGTGTCCTGCCCAGGAGCCCTATCGAAAAGGTTTTGGTGATTTGGGGCTTAAGTGTAATTGTCGTAGCTCCACCTAAGGACGCCGAGGGAAGGTTGCTGCCACTGGACAGGGTCATAGATGCATTGCCATTCATGGAAGATTTCACCCACATTACGCTCAATCCGCGCCTGAAACTGTCCCAAAGGCTCAACACTCTTCTCAACCCGGAGCCTCAGTCATATCCACTTTGCTGCTAGGGCGATGCTCCAGACTTTGGCATGGGCGCAAAGCGTGCCACATCGGCTTGGGCGTTTCGTGGTTTTGGTCAGAGCTTTGCTTCTGCGCTAGCGGTTCAGGGGTACTTGAAGTTTGGAAGTCCTTCTAGATGTAAGAAGATGAAGAGCAACGCTCAGCTTCGGAGGCTCGTTGGCTTGACAGATTTGAGTGTCCAGTTGCAAGATCTGGGTGCGTGCAACGCAAGCTTGGATCTTTGAGATGTCAACACTGCAACATCCTTGATCCCAGCATCGTAGGATGCATGGCAAGGGCAAGTCTCGCGCACAGCAACCAGAAGTGTGTATCGTATATGATCCCACACTCAGTCTGACCCTTGCCGGAGATCACCTTCCTTACCTGGCCAGATCCAATCTCCCCCCCCCTCCGGCCCGGTAGTTCTCGTCCACGAAGGAGCCCGTGGCGCTGTAGTACCTGCCATGCGGTTTTGCAGGTACTGTAAGTGCGCTGATGTTGCCGCCCCAGCGGCAGGACAGCAGCTGGGATAAAATTGGTTGAAGCCCGACGCAATGACCGAGGTTGGTATTGCTGGAATTGCAGGTCAGGAGGTTTCGTGCTTCAGGATTGTCATAGACTTATCCTTGCATTTACATATTTGCTTCTCGTCAGCTTCAGGGAGCAACACCCTCGAGGCCCCTGAGTGGAGCATAGCAGTAGCCATCGGAGCCGTTCTCACGGACATGGGTTACATGTGCTTTGAAGAATTCAGGCATAGGGGTCGGTAAAGTCCTTGCACATGTATACTCATACAATACTGTACCCCAAAATCCCATTTCCAATTATTCAATTTCTTTTATCACACCCTGTAAGAGCCATGGGCACCTTAATAGAACCTATAGAGAGCAGTTTTCCGCATTGTGGTTAAGGGTTCTGCAGTATTCTCAATCCAAGGTGCAAATAGCATTCACAGCATCATGGAGGTGGCCGATGGCTGAGAAGGGTCTCGTGAGATGGTTATATAACAGCAACAATGCATGCTGGTGGCACTACCACTACTGCTATTACTACTACTACTACTACTACTACTACTACTGTTGATGGAGGAAATCTTGCACCACTTTAAGTGGCCGAGCACGGTAGAGACCCCGCGCCCCCCGTTTTAATATTGACTCTTCATCCTCCGAAGCTCCGCGGGTTCCAATGACAGAAATCTTGC